AAATATAAGACCATACAGTAAAAAACAGCTGTCTCTCTTCAGAGGAGGAGAGATATCACTTTCAGCTAGAATCACAGGGAAGAGATTTCATCCTAAAGATTTCGTGATGGAATTGGAGAAGAAAGCTTTGAATGACAGGTATATTTGGACAGCTACTGTCACAGCCTATGAAAATCATCAATTTTGGCTTTGAGAGGGAATTCCCTATAGGCCAGGATATATGCCAGGCATCCCAAAAATGAAACTGAGCACATTTCCTGTAGGAACAGTTTCATATTAATTCAAACTACAGTTCAATGACTGGAGCTGTTATGGTAGGTAGGTAGATACTATATATATAAATATATATATGTAGATATAGACTTTTGTGACCCGAAGTAAGATTATGTACTGCTCATGGGAAACTTGGTTCCACTATCCTGAACAGCCAACTTACATATGAGCTTTTGCAACACCACCTGTTTGTACATTAGAAACTACACTGGGGAGGCACTGAAAGTTTTTGAGAAGAGCAATATCAATATGGATTTCAGCTGCAGAGCTTTAAGGGTTATTGCTGAGGCCCAGGTGTGAGATAACAGCAGGAAGGGACAGATGCATAAGGTGAAGGTGATATGCAAACATCAACCAAAACAGCGTTAAAAAAAAAATAAAACTTACCTGGCAACTAGATTCAATCACTAATTCTGTAAATATTTGTGTGCCTACTAGGTGCCAGGCACTGTGCTGGGCACTGAAGATATAAGAGCAATGCAAAGTCCCATCCTCACTCATTTCTTCAATAAATATCTGAGGGCTCACTGTGTGCCAGACACAAATATAGGACCTGGAGATTTAGCAGTAAATAAAACTATAAAATCCCTGCTTTTGTGGAGCTTACGTTTGAGCAGAGAATGCAAATATGTTTCTAAAGAGAAAAATAAAGTAAGGGGGACAGGAGTGTGCAGAGGTTTACAGGAACAATAGTGACACTATGGAGGTGCTAGGTATATGCTATTCATTCAAGAATACAGAATAAGATAAAAAGAATGGTTGGTGGTAAGAACAGTAGGGTTGAATGAAGTATTTTTCAGGATAGCAGAGATAAAGGATTAGAAGCCAATGAATAGTAAGGGTTGAGCAGTGAGGGCTGAAGATGGGAACTTTAAAAGAGCTTAACTGGCAAAGAGGAGTGTTGGGAAGTGCGGTGTCACCTGTGAGGAGGCTAAGAGGATAAAGGAGAGGGAACCTCAAGCCTGAGGCTTCAAAGACAGAAACAGCAGTGCCTCAAGGGTAGCAGGAGATGGAGGTTAGCGCAGTAGAGGCGTGGAGGGACCTGTGAAATCCAGATTTCAGACTGGTCAGCGATAAATTCTGAAGTTGCTGGGGTAAGGAACGAGGTAGGAAGCACATGCTGCAATCATGTAAGAAGGTAGAGGTGAGTGTAAATGAGAATTTAGAGAGAGCAGGTAAACAATGTCAGGGACTTGAAATGAGGAGCCGGGATGGGGCACCACCCAACATGCTGGTCTGAGGGAATACAGGAACTTGTGCCTGATCTTACCCTTTGATGGACCTGGAAATGGGCCTTTTATCCCATGCCTAGGTATCTAGGTATCTAGATATCTAGATGCCATACCTAGAGACTTGGCAATGGCCTTGCCTTGCCCTGCACTGATGTCCCAAATCAAGTGGACATTAAGTACCTTGATTGCAGGGACCATCCTGGCATCCTCTGGGACCTAACACATGGTAGGCATGTGCTGAGTGTTGAAATAAAGTGAAGCCACACATAGAATTTAAAGAGCTAGAAAGAATACCAGAAATAATCTAGTTGAACTCTCTTGAGTTTGCTTTATGTAGGGTGTGGGCCAAATTTGGGGTCTCTCATTATAACTCAGAGTCAACTCCCACACACATACTCCTGCCAAACCCTTCAGTAGGATTTTAGTCCCCTCATCTTTTAGATTAGATCAGTGGTTCTCAAATTGTGGTTTCGGGACCCTGGTGCTCCCTAAGACTCTGTCAAAAGATCAATGAAGTCAAAACATTTCAAAATACTAAAATATTATTTGCTTTACCACTCTCATTCGCTTACGAGTGTACAGTGGTTTTTCCAGAGCCTAAATGACACGTGATAACACAACAGGCTGCAGAAGCAATGAAAATCCAGACATTAAAGAGGCTTGCAAAAATGTAAACACAATGCCACTGTCACTAAACGGAAAATGTAGTTATATTTGTTATGGCTATTTATACTAACAGGTAATGGATTATTTTCAAATTAATAAAACTTTTTAAATTGACCAGTTTTGATGTCTGAGATGGTAAATATCAACAGGCAAGATGTATGTAAGCAAGAGCTCTTTATAGTCCTTGACAATTTTTCAAAGTGTAAAGGGGTCCTGAGGCCAAACTGTTTGAGAAATGCTGGATTAGTTACTGCTGCACCCCAGCTTCCCCCCTCCCTTTTTTATGGGAATCTAAATAGTTAAGAAGGATTTACTGTAGCTTAAGACCAGGCTGCCATCCCAACCAGAGACGTCTTGAGTACCATTATAAAGTAAATGGTGTATTCCCTGCTGGCACACTCAGCAAAGTCTCACCCAGAAATCCCACTGAGGTAATAATCTTTGGACCAGTTTTTCCAGTTTCCTAAGCTTCTAGCCACACTTCCAGACACTTCCACC